TTCTGGTCACTCTTTCACCTTCGTTGTCAGTCACTGTTGAATGCTGAGGTTGTCCAGCATCAACCCCCTACCCCAGATCCTCCTTATTCTAATCTACTGCAGGCTGAGGAGCAACTGCTACTCCAACACATTAACACAATGCAGGAACATTATTAGCATGTGCATTGGGTCCAATTCCACATTTTATCAGACATTAAAATGCAAAACCAGAGGCTGGGAAGATGGCTTAGCAATTTAAAGAACTTACTGCTCTTGCAGGGGATCTGGGTTCAGTTTCCAGTACCACATCTCACAATTACATGTAACCATATGTGGTGGTTTGAATAGGAATGGCCCTCATAGACTCATGTGTTTGGCTGCTTGGCCCATAGGGAGTGGCACTATTAGGAGGTATGGCTTTCTGGAGTAGGTGTGGCTTTGTTAGAGAAAGTGTGTCACTGTGGGGGTGGGCTTTGAGGTCTCAGATGCCTAAGCCCAGGCTCAGTGGCACACAGTTCTTTTGTGGCTGCCTACAGATCAAGATGCAGAACTCTCAGCTCCTTCTCCATCACCATGTCTGCCTGCATGCTGTCATGGTTTCCACCATGATGATAATGGACTAAACCTCTGAAATGGTGAAGCCAGCCCCAATTAAATGCTTTCCTTTATAAGAGTTGCAGTGGTCATGGTGTCTCTTGACAGCAATAGAAACCCAAACTAAGATACTGTGGTTCCAGGGGATCCATGACATTAACTTTGAGCATATTCTGGTACCAGCTTATATGATGCACATAAATTCATTCTTCCACATACATGACCAATTTTAGGTCCTCTGCACTTCTGTACAAAAGGCCATAGGACATTAATAGGCTGTGAGCCAGAAAATAGAAACTGCTCTACTAGAACAAAGGCCTCAGTCGTGTCATTAAAACCCTTGAGTTTAGACGGAGAATATTAAAATTAAGTGCTGGTCAAACAACAAACTCAATCACTGAAAGGTAAGAAAAAAATCATTAAAAAAACCCTAAGTTCTGTCTGTCTCTAGACTAACAATGACACATTAGTGTCAAAAATCCCAAGTTCCCTTAAACCTCCTTACTAGCTATAATTTGAAAAGTTGTATCCACACTAAACATGCTGTTAATCCAAGCAAAACATAAAAGAAAAAGGGCCACACTCTATTTCTCTTACCACTACCACCGTAACCCTCCACCCTAGAAGCTAAGCTAGCTTCTAACTCCCAGGCTCATGAGATAGATCCTCTTAGCTCCCCAGTAAGCAGAACTTCAGGCAAATGCTCCCCCACTCTGATCTACTCAAACTATTTCATCTTGGTTTCTGACTAGAATTTGAACTCACTCTCTTATCTTTATTCCCATTATTAATCTGCAGGAGCCTCCCACAGGTGACAAAACCGCATGAGGCTGAGAGGCATGTGACAGTAGCCTTCTGATAATTTTTATAGAAGGTAAATTGTCATAGCTCCATGAAGGATTAAAGAAACGGGAGGAAAGTCTGGATCCTGCCCTGAGGAGCCCCTGGGTGCTAGTTCACTGGATCCCTGAGACCCACTTTGTGAAAGAAACATCTGACAAACAGAGCTTCAGTTCTGATGTGTGTCTGTGAAGCAAAACCTGACTGTCTCGGAAAAGCACAGGGTACATCCTCTCCTTAGAGCCCACACTGCTGTAACAGTACTGAGAAAGAAGCTCAGAGGACAGGCTTGCTGGTGCATGCCTGGCATGTAGAGAGGCTGAAGCAGGAAGATCACAGGTTCCAGCTCAGCCTTGGCGACACAGTGATACTATCTCAGAGAAAGAAAAATCAGGTGGTGATGGTGGTGCCTGTAAATGCCAGCACTTGGGAGACTGAAGCAAAATAACTGGTGCGGGTTCAAGATCATCCTGGGCTCCAAACCAATATCTTGTTTCAATAAGTAAATAAAAATGAAAACAAAAACCTTTAGCTGGCAGGAAGTCGACAGTGTTCAGAAGGTAGTATGAAGTGCAAGCTAGAAGGCTGCGGGGGGGCCTGAAGGCAACCAAGCACTGCCATCTTTAGCCTCTGAGGTGACAGGGAGCATGGGAGACAGCGGCTGCAGTCACACATACCTTAGCCACATTAGAGATTACGATTCTAGGAAAGATATGGGCACTCATATTCCAACAAAATCCCCAGTACACAGGCTCTGTTTAGTTTACTAAACCCTATTATCAATTTTCACATGCACACACATACACAGTGCTATTTAATCTTAACAACTGTATGGGTTTGGTATAAACATTATTTCAAACACTTGAACCCAAAGCTTATGAGATATATACCAGGCCTGTAATCCCATCTACTTTGGAGACTGAGGCAGAAGAATCATGAACTCAAAGCCTGCCTACACTACAGAGTGAGCTCAGGTCCAGCCTGGGCAATGTAGTAAGAATCTGTCTCACATAAAAAGTGTGAAAAAGAGGGCTGAGGCTACAGCTTAGTGGTGGGGGGACTTGTGCAAAGCCCTGGGTTTGGTCCCTATATGGTGGGGTCAAAAGTTTATCAGACAAGGTTTAAAAAAATCAGTAACTAAAGACTGATCCAAAGACACATTGATGATGTGCCATCCCATTTCTAACTGTGTACAATGAGGTATTCAGATGGCTGGAATACTACTTCCTGTAGCCCTTTCTCAGCCATTGAACTTTAAGGTCAGTGTGAGGAAGAATCCCATCTTAAGTTCTTCTGTAATCAAAGACTGATAGAATGGGGGGATTAATTATATAAGGATAAGTGGATCTAAATCACAAATAAGTAAGACTGCTATAGAAACAGGAGGAAAGAACGCTTTAGAGAATCATAGTTCCTAAACACATCAGGAGAGAAACAGCTCTTCGCAACCTCCCTCCTTCCAACACTTTAGATGACAGAACTCTTCCCACAAGATGAAAACCAACCCATTGGGTCTCCAGAAATGTACCTTCCCTAGAAGATGGGAAATAATATTTCAAAATCCTAGTCACTGTCCTCCAACCCCCAGCCCTTGAAATGGCCTTTACCTTCTATGGGGGAGGTTTTCAGTCTAGCGCAGATGTCTTGTACACCTCCATAGTGGGCATGGATCTGGGTGACTGCATCAGCCCCACGAAGCTCCATGAGCTTTCTCAGGTCCATTAATGTGCAGCCAAACTCCCCTTCACATCTCTCAGATACCGAGCTGCCTGGCAAGCTATGTCCTGATGGGTTCGTCATTTTGCCTGTGGTTATGAGACTCAAACAGAGAAAATGTTTCCCTCCAACTGATCACTGTCTTCCAGCTGGGGATGTTTACCCAGTGTAGCAGTTTTGCTCGGCAGGAGGTTTCTCGATCGAAGTTGCTACAGTTCAGCTCTGCTCTCGGAGAGTGGAGAACCGAGTGTAACAACTCCGCTCTGCCAAGGGAAGGTTTCCCCGGCAAAAGTGTTACAGCCCTGATCCCTCTTCTCTGCCAACCGCCACCTCTACTCCACCAACGGTCGCCTCCGCCTTGGAAGGAAACAGCACCGGCCAAGCTGAACATACACAGGATTTATAGGGATTCTTGGGGGCGGGGTGAGTTTTTCCAGGATAGGGATTGGTCGATTTCAATGCTGACCTCTGATTGGCTAGAGCTCTGCTCGGGGATTGGTTAGTTTTCTGCACAGGGTTAGGATCAGATTTGGCTCTAGTTTCAGAGCCAAAGTGTGTTTCTTTCTCTGGTCCTTTTTAGCCTTTTGGCTCCAATTTTAGGGCCAGGGTGCATTTCTTTCACTGACTCTGATTCCAGGGACAAAGTGTGTTCCTTTGGCACTGGTTTCAGGGTCAGGGTACATTTCTTTGGTTCTGGTCGCAGGGCCAAAGTGTGTTTCTTTGGCTCTGCCCAGGGTGTGTTTCTTTGACTGGTCCCTTTTCCCTACACAGATAGGGGTTAAATCGACAATATCTTGTGCAACCAGCTTCAGAATAGCTCTCCACTCTCGGCTCTCAGCTCTCTACTCTCCGGGGAGCCGAGCTGAACTGTAGCAACTTCGCCAGAGAAACCTCCTGCCGAGCAAAACTGCTACACTGGGTGAACATTCCCAGCTGGAAGACCCTGTCCTGCAGGAGCAGAGCCGATACACTGGGGAAGCCTTTCCCTGAGGCTGGGATGTAAGCTGCTAAGCTTACTGCAACCCGTGGTGGTCCTTGGCTCTCGAGCTCCAGGATACCTTTCCACCTGATCTGTGTAACACTCAGTGTTCTGTGACTCCCGAGTGCCAGAACACCTGGCCCATCCCAATTCTACCGAAATGCCTACACAGAGTAGATAAGTTCCTAGCTTAGACTACTTGCCCATATAAAAGTGTAAACAGGATGAGCATGTTACCATGGAGGCAACCTTAGCAACAACCAGCATTGCGATGGTAGAGCCGCGTTGTCAGGAGGAAGAGGAGGGCTCCCTGGATGAGGATGACAGCTAGGTCTCTGGACTAGAGATGCAAAAAAAGACAAAAAGAAACAACTAGAACAGCCATGAGGATGCAGAATCTGCAAGGTACTCTCCAGCACAAGGGTTTAAATGGCAGTTGGTGTCTGAACAGAGCTGCCAGCTGAGGCCTAAGCTGGGTGGCCAGACTCATGGGAGGCCCTGGGCGAGCCTGTCAACTGCTAGGGAAGAGACTTTATCTCAGAAACACCATCTTCAAGTCTCACTTCTTCCAAAACAAAGCATACAAAGTAACTTAAGAAACTTGCATATAAAAGGCTACTGCCCCTAAAGTCCCTCCCACTCCCCAGGCAATAACTGATTATAGGATGCTTTAGCCTGGTTTTACCTGTAAGATGAGAGAAGAATCAGAAAATGAATCTAGGTCCATGGGGGCAGGAGGATGGCTTGTCCACACACCACCCGCTCCTATGTGCCATACTCTTCCCTGTACACAGACATTTACAAACCAGGAAGAAGGGCTGAGAAAAGGCCCCTTAAAAACATTCAGCCTTCAGTGGTATGAAAATGTGGCAAACTATGGCTATTATCTGACACCAGATTTTGGTCTTAGGGCTAAGTCCTCCCAGCAGCTTTCCATGGTAATGAAAGACTAAAATGTTCTGGCAGTTTATGATACAAGGTGGAATAATTTTTTTCCTATAAAAGGCAGATGGGCCTCTGAGAAGATAGTAAGTCTGAAGGCTACGAGTGTTCAGGTTTCTCCAATGCAGGAGAGATAAGTTCAGCCTGTGTACAGGCCCTAACAGCCATCGGTGTGAGGAAGCAACCCCGGAGGGTCTCATGTTAGCATAGCGACACATCAGAGAGCGAGAGGCAGGCATTTCTCCGTCATCGAGAAGGATGTTACCCGGAGCACACGCTGGCTGAGTGTGTGGGCACAGCTAAGTGTAAGTAAGCAGGGCTGAAGGTGACACAGGGACTGAGCTGAGCCCTACATGTCAGCTGCTCCAATGTGAGGGGCTCTCACTGAACGTAGCACCCAAACATGGAGGGCACATGGTAAACACCCATCCTGTAATTGGGTTATGCCGCCAGGGGCTGGCAAGGCACTCCAACTGGCTGGGTAATAAAGATGCCATTCTTGCTTCCAGAAGGTGAACAAAACTCAAGAGTCATCAGATAAAGACTTGGTTCCTGTTGATCAAAGCCACTGCTAATCCCAACCACCCCTGCTTCAGGCAGGTTCCTCTGGCATGGAGGTTGTTACACCCCTCCCTCAGCTAGCATGCCCTGTCAGTCTTCTCAATACTCTGACTTACAGCAGGTAAGCAAGCAGGGACTCCTGGGAAACGTGGTCTGAAAAGGGCCGGAGGCAGTGGGTCTAAGTCCCTCTCTCAGACTGATGTAGAAGCAGGGCCAACACTAGTAGTCCCTTCCTATTCGAATCCTGTGGAAAGGAGAATTGAGGATGGTACAAGAAAGGGAGCATGCATTCACATAACTGTGCTGCCATAATTGCCCAATTTTGTTATTAATTATTTCTGTTAATTTCTTACTGCATCTATCGTGTGTGTGTGTGTGTGTGTACACGTGCGAACACCTGCACTTGTGTGCACACACAGGTATATGCATATGTTTGCATGTATACGTGTTGCTTAGAGGACAGAGGTAACTTTGTGCCAGGGTCTCTCATTGATCTACAACTCCCCAGTTAGACTAGGCTGGCCAACCAGCAACCTCCAGAGATCCTCTTGTCTTTGCCTACCCAGAACTGGGATTACAAGCACATGCCACCACCCTGGCTTTCTATGTGGGTCATAGGGATTGAACTCAGGTCTCCATGTTTGCATGGCAAGTATTTTACCGACTGGGCTATCTCCCCATTTTCTGTGCCTAATCTCTAAATTAAATATTATCACCAGGTACAGTGGTCCATGCCTATAATGCCATCACTCAAGAGGCTGAGGTGGGGTGTTATAAGTCTGAGGCCTAGTCTGAGCTATAAAGTAAGGTCCTGCCTCTAAAATTAAATGTTACAAAGAGTATTTTTTTAGGGAAAAATCTTGTATGTATGAGTGTGCATAAGGTTCTGTCCTACCCAGGGCTGCAGTGGGTATCTTGGAATGCGTCTTTCCCCACCAACTGTCACAGGACTTTCTCCCAGTTTAGTTCTCCAAGTCTGCAAGGAGTGAGGGGACTATAGCAGCAAGAGACCCATCTCGACCTTAGGTAAAGACACTTAATCTTGCAGAGGATGTCCAAGACAACGCTGATGGAGCTGGGAGTCAGATTTTATTCTTCTCTCTCCCCATCCCATCTCTTATTTGAGACAGGGTTTCTCTGTGTGGCCCTGATTGTTCTGGTATTCGCTCTGTAGACCAGGCTGGCCTCAAACTCAGAGATCTGCCTGCCTCTGCTTCCAATGTGCTGGGATTAAAGGTGTGCACCACCATGACCCAGCTGATTTTACATTTTTTAACTTACAATTTTTATTTTATTATTTTATGTATATAGATATTTCGCCTGCCTGCGTGTCTGTGAACCACTTGCATCTTAGAAGTTACCCAAGGAGACTAGGTGAGAGTGTCAGATGCCCTGGAATTTAAGTTGTGTATGGTTTTGAGCTGACGTGTGTGCTGGGAACAGAACCTGAGTTCTCTAGAAAAGCAGCCAGTGCTCTTAGCTGCTGAGCCAACTCCCTAGCATCTATTTTTTTTAAAGACTGTCTTACAACGGAGCCCAGGCTGACCTGAGACTCACTATCCAGTCCAATCCGGCTGTAAACTCATGATCCTTCACCTGTTGCCTCTCAAGGGCTGGGATTACAGGTGTGAGCCACTACTCTTGACAGAAGGTTTTTATTTTTCCGTCCCTGCCCATACAGTGGTTCTCTGTGAAGCCAGGGATTCTTCCCATTTTACTCACTGCTTGCTCCCCATTGCCTAGGAGAGAACTTGTATATAGTGACACTCAGCTGATATTTTATTACTAATGCACCGGTAGCACATTCAGAAACATACCTGCTTCTTTCCAAGTCATCTGTGGTGAGTCACTTAGCCAGCTTAGGACCTTGCACTGGGAGGAGAACCAGTCCCACATAACGTATCGTGCTAGGGAAGCAATAAAGGAATGGGACTTTTGAGTTAATAAATGAGCATTCAACATGCTGGATGCTCAGTGTTCAGCACCAGGTATTCATGTGATGGGAGAAAACCTCACTTGATTTCAGTGAACTTTTGTTTCCTAGTCCTTTAAGCAGAAGGACAATTGCTCCATGAACCTCCCCATCTTCCTCTCCAGAAAAAGAAAATTCTAGGGCAGCTTTCTTGGTTTTTGTTTTGTTTTGTTCTGTTTTTCGGTTTTTAGAAACAGGGTTTCTCTGTGGCTTTGGAGTGTGTTCTAGTACTAGCTCTTGTAGATCAGGCTGGTGTCAAACTCACAGAAATCCACCTACCTCTGCCTCCCGAGTGCTGGGATTAAAGGTATGTGCCACCAATGCCCAGCTAGGGCAGCTTCCTTAACAACACCATGAGCTGGGTTGCAGCCACCAGTAATAGTTATCAGCATCTATGGTCCTGGGTCTCAAGATAATAAGAAAGGACCGTCTAAGACTAGACTCCTTACTTTGAACCTCTCCTCGGGTGTAAGAGGGAGAACGTCTTCCTGTCACAGAGACAACCCACAGAGGAGGGTACAGATGATGAGAAAGCAGAATGCCACCCAACTGCTCCAGGAGAGGCAGAGACGTTTACACAGCAGGCCAGCTATCCAGCCATGGGTACAGAGTCCAAGGAGCAGTGCGTGATAGAGACCTCAAGTTTCAGTGGTTCTTTCTACTCAAGCCCTGCTGCACTGAGGGACATGTAAGGTCTATAGAATGTGAGCTCTTGGTAACTGCTGAGCTTGCCGGAGAAGACTCTGAGCCTTGGTTTTCCAGTCAGGAAGGCGCTACCTCTGTCAGGTCAGGATAGTCAGTCACTTGGAGCATTCTGGGCTAGGCATGTTCTCCATCCTAGGGGATGATAGGCTAGAAGACTGAAGTACCATCCTTTCTTCCTGGGGGCAGAAATCACATTACTTCATGTGATCACCCAGCCTTGCTTCCGGATGTACCTGAAAAGCATGCCACCCCACACTTCCCGATAAGCTGAGTGTCATAAGGCTCATCAGTGAGTACCCCAAATAAAGGGAAAACCTACGACCCAAGTGACAACAGCCTGACCATCTGTCCTTCAGTTCTGTCCCCAGAACCCTTTACTCCCCGAGGCTCTCCTGGGGTACTGAAGAAGGCATTCGTCCCCAGACCATCAGTCACCTCTGATGGAAGGAACCTGTCCAGTGATCCTCCTATGGCTCTGAAACTGGAGGGGGCACAGGCAACAAGCTTGCTTAGAAAAGGGGCTTGGAAGCCGGGCGTTGGTGGCGCATGCCTTTAATCCCAGCACTCGGGAGGCAGAGGCAGGCGGATCTCTGTGAGTTTGAGGCGGGGCTGGACCGATAGCCTCCTAAGCAATACAGAGAAACCCTGTCTCGTAAAAACCAAAAAAAAAAAAAAAAAAAAAAAAAAAAGAAAAAGAAAAAGAAAAGGGGCTTGGAGTCAGGTTTTAGGATGGTGCAGCACTGCAGACAGGGTTGTCTAGGATGAAAGATGACATGGGTCATTCTACTGGGGCTGCTCAGGACAGCGGACTTTCACGTCCTACCCTGCTCTGTCCTTTTCTCTGGGCCAGGAGCTTTTGCATTAGGGCAAGTGGATAGCACTTGGGGACACTCCTGAGTCACTATCAAGCATGGTGCGAGGCTATGGAGGAGAGCTCTCGGGGTAGGCGAGAAGGCTGGCCCTGTCTAGAGGCTGCACCAGCCTGAGGTCTGAAAGCTGCTTTCAAGGTCCCCAGCGGCCCCTGTCACCATCTCTGATGAGTCCCCTCATCCCAAACAAGGCTCCAGTGTTCTCACATTCAGGAGCAGAGTGGGGGAGAAGGGAGGTGGGGAAGCAGGGAACACTATTTATTTTGTACATTCAATGTGTTAGGCACTAGAGACTTCATGTGAAAATGAGATGGATACTAAGTATCTGTAATATGAATTCAAATATTACATAGTACCTAGTACAGCAGCTGACAAGGACTGGCTTCTGTGTACCCAGTAGCTATTACCATTATTACTACACTGTGTCACTGAATGCTCAACAGCCTTATTTTACAGCAGACAAATATGGCTCCAGAGGCAGGGTTTCAGCTCTAACCCGAATCCAAAGTCACTCTACCTCAAAAACAAGACCGAAGCTGTAGGAAAAAGAAAACAAAGCTATAGATCTTCTCCCTAAACCTCAAAGGCCCACAGAAACCTATTGGTCCCTTGCTCATGACCGATAAGGATTTTGAAGTAGATGGCACACCTTTTGTCCTTTCTAAGCAGTAGTAGACTCAAAGCTCACCATGGGAAGACACTGCCCAAATCTTCCTCTCCTCCATCCCACGGCACCACTCTGACACCATCCCAGAGCAGAATGGACTGGCTCCAGACTGGCATGGTTATAGGAGCCTGCAGGCCCCACCGGAGAAGAGCCCAGGAGTGTGGATACCCATGCCTCCACTCTTCCTGCCTCCACACCTCCCGCCTCCACTCCTCCCGCCTCCACACCTCCCGCCTCCACTCCTCCCGCCTCCACTCCTCCCGCCTCCACACCTCCCGCCTCCACTCCTCCCGCCTCCACTCCTCCCGCCTCCACTCCTCCCGCCTCCACTCCTCCCGCCTCCACTCCTCCCGCCTCCACTCCTCCCGCCTCCACTCCTCCTGCCTCCACACCTCCCGCCTCCACACCTCCCGCCTCCACTCCTCCCGCCTCCACTCCTCCTGCCTCCACTCCTCTTGCCTCCACACCTCCTGCCTCCACACCTCCTGCCTCCACACCTTCCGCCTCCACTCCTCCTGCCTCCACACCTTCTGCCTCCACACCTCCTGCCTCCACACCTCCTGCCTCCACATCTCTTGGCCACTAAACCCCCTAGGTCTTGCTCAGGTCTGCTCCTCTCTGACATTCCAACACTTTCCAAAGAACCGTTCCCTGTCAAGAAAGCTGTCAAAAAGGCTGGGTATGCAGCTCAGCTGGTAGCATGCTTGCCTACGAGGCCCTGAGTTCCACCCACAGCACCACATTGTAAGCCAGAGCCAGAGTGGCTGCAAACACCTGCAATACTCAGTAGAGGCAGGAGATCAGGAGTTCAAGGCTTCTCATGCCCCAGAACTGAGGCAGGAAGCTGCTAGGCCACACTCAGCGCTCAAGGGCAGTGGCATTCAAGCATTCAGTATATACACGTTCTTGGATGACATTGCCTTTCCTGGGGCCGCTGTGGTTTTTCCACACATTGGTTCCAAGGGAAGAAAGGAGCTCTTTAGCAGTTGGATTGCCTCTGGGGCTATTTTTAGAAACAAATTTTATCAGAATCTGTCGTGTTCTAGGAGACGTCATAAGGGCATAAGGACAGGAGAGGAGCAGTCCCTGTCTCCCACCAGCTGCAATACTCAGGACCCAAGACTGTGCCCCTCTCCTCGTCAGCACAATAGAGCTGATCCTGTTGGCAGAGGTGTGGGTGAGAACTGCCCCCTTTTCTTATCTGACAGCAAGGGTAGCTGGCCCTGAAGCCATAAGGGTGGGAGAGCAGCAACTGCCCCCCCACCAGCTGAAACACTCTAGAGGGCAGGTCCTGTACCTCACCTGGGCAGCACTGAAGCCAATTCTGTTGGCAGCTCAGTCCTGTAACTGTGAGCATGGGAGAGCTGTCCCCATTACTCATCTGCAATATGGCGGCATGGGCAAAGGATTACCTTCAATGCATGTTGTCAGCTTTGGTGAGGTGACATCATTTTCTGAGGTGTAGACCTACAGGGTTTTGCTGGATCCACTTGCTGGGGAAGGGCCATCTCTAGAAGGATCCTCAGCTATTTTTATGGCTTCTTCCATGGCGGCAATGAGACCATTGCCATCTTCCCCTCTCAAGGCAGGACCAAAGCACTTGGGCCTCCGGATGAGCAACCTCACCACAACATTGCATTCTTTTCTACACTCTCTCCTGCAGTCCAAAGAGTAACATAAACAAAATACAAGACTTTCAGGGACCATATATCATAAGCATTTCTCGTTTAAAGAAACATGTATACCTTAGAAATAAACTATAATAGTAAATTCGGCTTTTAAATTGTATGTATTTATGGGGGTGGGGGAGAGGGGTCAGTTCACACACCACATGGAAGCCAGAGATCAGCCTGCAGAAACTATTTTTTCCTTCTACCCTGTGGGTTCCAGGGATAGAAGTCAAGGGGTCAGCCTTGGCAGCAAGTACCTTTATCCACTGAGTCATCTCACTGGCCCATAAATTCAACACTCAACACACATCACAACTTTTATGTATACTGTTGTGGTCTGCATGTTGAATGAGCCTCAGAGACTTCTGTGTCTGGATACTTGTCCCCAACAGACACTTCTGTCTTGGGAGTTTGTGGAGGATGACTGGGACCTGGGACCTAACTAGCTATTATAGGCTGTCAGAGAGGGCCTTGAAGGGAATTCTGCGTTCAGATACCTGCATTCGGCTACCTCCTAGCTCTCACTATTTATTTCCTGGTTGGTGCCATATATGAAGTTGCAATGCTAGCTCCTGTCAACCACAGACGAGGCCGTGCAGTCATCTTTCCTGCAGGGATGGACTGAGTACGCTTCTCCCTCAAGGTGCCTCTACCTACTATTCTGTCATATCAGCGAAAAAGGGTATATATATATATATACATATATATATATTACTTTCTTTGATAATAGTTTCCAAGTAAAGCCAAATATTAAAAACTATTTGTTATGGAAGAAGATATTGCAATCTCAACCCTTAAGAGACAATTGCAAAAAATCTAGAAGGTACATGCAGATTTCAAGTTAATGCATGTAAAAATGTAGTATGAGTTATTGCTGTGGAAAGAAAACTATTAAATAAAATATATAATTTCTTATATTCACTTCCTTTATGAAAAATGTACCCTTATTTTTTCATTTTGAAAAATATTAATTTTATTTTCAATTATGCACACACACACACACACACACACTTGTATGCATGAGAGCACAGATGTCCCACAAGGTGATGTCAGTTCTCTTGGAACTGGAGTTTCAGGTAGTTGTGAGCTGTTCTAAATGGGTGATGGAAACTAAAATTGGGTCCTTTATAGGGTCAGATAAGTGATATAAATCACTGAGTCATCTCTCCAGCCCCAGAACCCTTATTTTCACAGTTTTTCCAGTCTTCGAGTACTCATGTCCTACCGTTACAGAAGACAGCAAATCTGAGAAAGTCGAGGTATCTCTCTCCTTCAACTGGATTCCACCCAATGTCTGGGTAACCCTTAGACACCAGCATCTGACAGCTCTGCAGCACACAGCCAGCCAGATATCAAACTACCTGCAAATAAATGATAAGCAAGGGGTTATCTCTCACTTGGAAGTAACCTGAGCCTATATTAAGTCTGGTGAGTGAGATTATCCAGAAGTGGTTTAAAAGACACGAATTTCATTTATTTGCGTGTATGCATGTGTATGTGTGAGTGCAGATACTCAGGGATGCCAGAAGAGACCATTGGGTTTCCTAGAGTTGGAGTTATAGGCAGCTGTCAGCTACTTGATGTGGGTGCTGGGAACAGAATTTGAATCCTCTGAAAGAGAAGCAATCACTTTTTTAAATTAATGTTTTATTTATTTTGTATATGGACCACAGTTTCCCCTCCCTCTTCTCTTCTGTTTCCTCCACCTCCCATTTACACCCCTCACTGGGCCATTTCTCTAGCCCTAACAAATGTATCCTTTTTGCAATTCTTTTTAACATCATGATAACTGACACAAATTCTCTCTAGTTAAACTTTAATAATAAGACACACTAAAATATAACAAAGAATAGCCATTATGAATCAATTCTATAAGAAAGTAACGTCCTTGAATTCCATATCACATAACCCAAGAACTTTGCATACAAAAGCCATAATATCTGACACATCTCTGAATGTCTAATATCCTCTGACCCAATTAAAAACCGCCTGAGTGGATCCTCCCATAACTCAGCTGGTAAAGAGGGAGACTGAAGGGCTGAGGAGATGGCTCAGAGGTTAAGAGCCCTGGCTGCTCTTTCAGAGGTCCTGAGTTCAATTCCCAGCAACCACATAGCAGCTCACAACCGTGCTCGCTTCGGCAGCACATATACTAAAATAGCAGCTCACAACCATCCATAATGAGATCTGGTGCTCTCTTCTGGTGTCCAAGCATATATGTAGGCAGAACACTGTATCTAAAATAAATAAATAAATAAATAAATAAATAAATAAATAAATAAATGTGTGTGCTTTAAAAAAAAAGAGGGAGACTGAAACCATCTGAATGCAGGAACTCCTGTCTGAGATGCAAAGGTATCTTGGAGAGAACTGAGTCATTCATCCATTCAGTGATGGAGTAGGCATGAAGAGGTGCTTAAGTGAGGGAACACTAACACAGAGGCAGATCTCAGCTCTGGTTAGACATGTCTTACTCACTGAATGCATCATTTTAGAGCACGTTATTTATACTCCTTGAGTCAGTGCCAGAGTCTGTAAAAACTTGATATATATACTGACTATCTGCAAACCAAAAATCTAAAATCCCCAAAGCTGTAACATCTAAAACATTTTTTAGTGCTGACATGGAATCACAAACAAAAATGTCGACATATGACTTCAGATGACAGGTCACATTCAAAAGGCAGGTGCACTCGAAACAATCAAATACTTCATTATGTGTTCTCACTAATTTTTTGTAATCCAGAAAATGCTAACATCTGAGTCACAATGGATTTCAAGCATCATGGACAAGAGATACTCAGTCTGCCAATCAGCAGTACTTTTCAGTGCTGCTGAAATTAGCACATGAAAAATGCCTGCCTGGTTTTTCTTTAAGATATTTCATTTCCTAGGCACACTAACAGTGCTTAACATTTCATGAGGGATTGGGGCATAAATCCATAGCCAATTGTGACAAAGCTTTGCAAGAATAATTTGACAAACAGAGTTCTATCCAGCTTAGAAACAAATGGTATAGCTAAAACTTTTATGTCTGTAGCATTGAGGCAAATGATGATCAAGAGGATGATCAACTTATAGTACAAATACAATGTGGTTTGAAAGGAGAACAATTCTGAAAAAACCCTACAATGTCCCATCTTCCTTCCAGGATACCCTTGCAGCCCCTCCCTCCCTACACATCTAGCCCCCAATGAACTACTTTCTTTTAGTACAAATCAGCTTGTTCTCAATAATATTCACACATGGAATTATGTGCCATGTACCTTCCTGCATCTGACTTCTCTTATGTGGCATAATGATTTTAAGATTCAGCCACATTGTAGTAAAAGTTAATACTGAATTATTTTGTGTTACTGAATAGCAATCCACTCTACATGAATGCATAGTCCATACCTTCACTTACCAATCTGTACAGTGATAGGTGTTTTAGCTGTGGACTGTGATGGATTCCTTTCCATTGAACAAATCTCTAGAAATGTGAAGGCTATGTGTACAGTTCATTGTAAAGAGTGCATGGTTAGACTAATAGGATTTTCAGACTTTGGAACATTCATTCAACATCTCCTTAGTGGGGGTATCCAGTTGCTCCGCATTTTTCCTCTACATTTGGTATTATCAAGGGTTAAACAAACAAAAAGATTTTAAGTGATACATAGGCAAAGTATCCTCTGTGAATCAGAGATATGAAGCTTCGTGGTGCTGATCTGGAATGTCAGGGGACTGGGGAAGAGCTCACTACCTTACACCTGTAACAGGGACATGCAGGTATCCCTCAGAGCCAACACCTTCTCTGAAGCTGGGCAAGCATTTGCAAAACTGCTGATGTCACCAGTAGCAGTATCAGTAGGAAGTGGGTTTTTAGAAACACATATAAAAATAGCAATGTTTAACCTGCATGTGAGCTACCTAACAGTGTCAACTAGTGATGGAGCTCCTATATGATCACAGTTCTCAAAGAGCACAGCCTCTAGAGAGGCCACAGATATCTTGTTTGGGGGAGGTACATTTTATGATGTTTGTATCACAAAGATGCTATGGAACTGCTTTTCTCAGAAAGTTTTCCTGCTAAATGTTATATGAATATATATGTGATATATATATGCATGTATACATATATACAACACAAGTGATCATATGAATGGAAACCAATTGGTTGGCCCTGTAAAACGCTGATCCATCAGTACATCCATTACGTACTGTGAGAAATTAGCATGATGGAAGGCAAAGACAGGTTTTGGACAAACATCTCTCCCTCTCACTGCAATCTCTTTCTTTCGCTGCAGCTCATCAACCTCATACGGAGCCAATCTTGCTACTTCTAGATGTTCCACATAAAAACTCTTCTCAAACTTGGGGAGTTCACTCAAATCCCACTTCTTTTTTCATAACCGCTCCCCGGGATCACCAAACGTTTTGGGGGGAAGGCCACTACCACCTCTTGCTCCAAACCCTCCACAGTCTCCATCCCGAGTCCCCATCCTGGTCCCCAAAGCCGCCTCAGCGCATGGTCCCAAACGGGTAGAGATCTGGGAGCAGGGCCGGATGGCCAAGCTGAGCTTGTGACACATTCATGAGGACAAAAGTTCAGATCCCAGAACCCATATAAAAGACAGACAAAAAAAAAAAAAAGACAGACAAACAGTAGCAGGCAAGTCTGGCATTCCACTGCGGTAATGAAATCTTGTCTTAAATTGGGTAGAAGGCACATACTGATACCAGAGGCGGTCCTCTGACTTCTCCCCCCCCCACCTCTATCACGCACGCACGCACGCACGCGCACACACACACACACACACACACATACACACACACACACACACACACACACACACCTACCTGACACTAAGAAAAAGACTTTAAAGTTGAAAAGTAAGTTCTCTTGACAACAGTTTCAGAATACTTTTCTCCAGGAATTCTGTGACCTGCCATCTTTCCTATGGCACATCTGTACACACTTATATCTGCCCTTACTTTTCTCTTTAGCACTTTCTCATAAAGGCACAAAACATAGGATTTAGTTGCAGCAGCATGAAGCTCTTCTAATGTGTCAAAAGGAAAAGTTGCAAGGTAACGTAAGATCAAGTGAAGTGCCCAATAAAACAACTCTAGGCTTTGTTATCTGAGGAAAACTTTCCCCCAACCAGTGCCTACAAGGAAAACACTCTAACATGGCTCGTTCATCCAATGGAGGGCCCATTTCCCATGAATCAACTCTCAGAAGTGAGGGTAATGGAGTTCAGGGCATTATAGATCAAATATGCCATAAGACAGAACTTAGTCCAACATTTGGCTAAGCGCACTTTTCCTGTCCTTGGGACCACAGAAAATTAACATGGGAACAAGAAAGGCATTATGGCTCTGATCTGACTTGCTCATGCACTTGGAGGGGGACAATATAAGCTATTTTGAAGCCTCTGGCCTCAAACTTCAAGAGCTAGATGAACTATCTAAAACTTAGCTCCCTCATGACATGTGAACTACTGGTACTGGATGAAAGAGGTCTAATAACTATTATTGTGTAGATGTAACTCTGCAGGTGTTTTGAGTTCATTAATCTCATTACCATCAACTCTTGGACTTAATTCACTTCAATTTTTAGGCATTTTTCCCCAGAATTAGGCCTCTAAACTAATTAATGAACATCACTCACAACCAAGAGACAAAGTCCAGCTTTTATGACTTAAGGTAACTTTCTGTGTCTTCCACACACTAAGTGTAAGACATGACAAGGTCACCCAAGAACTGTCATATAAAAGTAGCTTCACTTGCCTCCAACATCCAAGTGATTATCAGCACCTGAAAACAATAATATTATGCAAAATAATACTATTGTTATAGGAGAACTGAACTTTGAAGTAAACCACAGAATACCTACTTGTGATCTGGAGAAAGAAATACAATTTTTAAGAATACAGCATTTGTAATAAGTATTCAGATCAGTACTGAGAATTAGCAGCTGGTATCTTGAGCGTATATATGTGCAATTTTAATTTTCCACACCTGTCAAGCCATGCCATGATTGGACTAGTCCCGTGGAACTTCTGTTTGACTGGTTTTTACACTATCTCACCAGGATCTAAACTAGTCATTGGATTGTATGGTTTTTATGAGGAACATTATATCTTTTCACAAACCAATTAAAGAGATTCAAAAACACCTGAGATTCTTGCAATCTGTTCATGCACTAGAATGTTATTTTTAAACACACATTTGTAAGTTTCACAGCCCTGTGGAAATGTGCTCAATTGTTTTCTTTTTCTGTTGTGAAAAATCTGCTTTTTGTTAAACTTTTGAAGTCGCTGTCTGAGTGGTAACGGTCTGAACAACAAATGTTCTCAGATTGCAGAAAAGAAAGACAGGGCACAAGACTTCCACGTGGAAATTGTTTAAGGAAAAGGGACAGTGCCTACCTAACCAGAGGAGAAGGCCATCAAACCCACAGGAGAAGAGGTCATCACCAACGTCATTGCCACCCCACTCTTCCCCATACCCAGGCAGGGGTGAATGCCCTTCGGTGGAAGCCCAGCCCACTCTAAGCTTCTGCTGTCACAAAAGGTTCAGTATGGTCCACCATGAGTTCGTAGTACCACTTCTTATACTACGCAGGCCCTTCACTGACACCCAGGAAAATATTAGGCCTCATGCTTTTAGACAGAAAAAGACAGAGAAAACTTCCAATGGCTTCTTTAATCATCATTCTAAATACTGTTCCTGATTATTCTCTACAATGTACACGGCATTAATTTGACAGGCTCTAGAATCATTTAGGAGACCAACATCTGGGCACATCTGTGACCATGTTCCTAGGTTGAGCTCACTGCGGTGGGCATTAACATTCCAATGCGCTAGGGTTCTGGACTAAATAGAGATGAGAAAAAGCAAGCTAAGCAACCACATCCATCTCTCTGTTCCTGGCTGCCCATGCAAAGTGCCCCTCCATTTCCATGCCTGTTGCCATGCCTTGTCCCTCCTGTGCCCACAAACTACAAGCCAGAGTAAATGCTTCCTTCCCACATAGCCTTTGCCAGCTACTTTGTCATGACAACAAGGAAAGTAGCTGATTCAGCAGCCAAGCCTACATTTTAACAATATCACAGAATTATAAAACCCATCAGTGAGGTGCTACCCAGGCCGACAGCACCCCCAGTTCACTGAGGTGATAACCCAGGCCGACAGCACCCCCAGTTCACTGAGGTGATAACCCAGGAAGACAGCACCCCCAGTTCACTGAGGTGATAACCCAGGCCGACAGCACCCCCAGTTCACTGAGGTGATAACCCAGGCCGACAGCACCCCCAGTTCACTGAGGTGATAACCCAGGCAGACAGCATCCTCAACTCACCTTGACTGTGCAGCACCTGATGTTGGGTTTACTCGACCAAGCCAATCCAGAGTCTAATAGGACTTTTTTTAAACTGATCTTTTGAAATTTTCATATCATTACTCAAATGTAGTTCATAAAATGAGATACTTGATACAACAGGATCACATAATAAATGGGGCTGTTATTAAGCCAGGACATGTGAATCTTCCTCATGTAAGTGCCATGTCACATGGACTATGATATGATCAACAGTAGCACATGACTAATGAGGATTGTTGCTGTCTGTTGACTCCTTACTTTCTTTGAAAAGAAAACGTTTTGGCAAGTTTCATTTAAGTCCATTTTAAGAGTGGGCTTACATATCTGGTGATCCCTGGACAAGTGAAGATAGCAGAAGTACCACTCATTAACATCAGCCTTATCTCCTGTTTAAACAACACAACTCAGGGAGCCTGGAGAGGTGGTTCAGAGGTTAAGAGCACTGGTTGCTCTTGCAGAGGACCCTGGTTTAATTCCTAGAACCCATAAGGTAGCTCACAACTGCCTATAACTCCAACTCCAGAGGATCTGATGTCCTCCTCTATCCTCCGGGAATGTATGTAGTATATACCATGCACTCAAACTCAAAGTGAAAATAAACAAATCTTTTAAAAGCTGCAGATCTCACACCACTTCTGTCTATAGAAGAATACAGTGACAGAAGCTTATGGAAGTCCATTTACTCTACCACACAGAGCATTGTGTTGGCATGCTTTTCTGGTACTGATTTCTTTTTAATCTAGAGGGATTTTTTTAAAAAGACAACATGGTATAGTATTCACTAGCTCGGCTTCTGCAGACAGACCCAAGCATCACCCCAGTCCCACCATCGTCATCTACAAAAGCAAGAGAAAAGCAGTACCAAAAGAAACCTCACAAAATACAAACAGCACAGGCCATAGACAAATCATAGCACTAGGTAGCTTGTAGGTGACACTCATCACTGTCAGAGTCCCTAAAAGGCTGATCCAATAGAAAATGTCATTTCATTAGCTATTTAGTTTGAAATGTGTTAGGCTTGGAGTACCCTATGATTTTTGTCACCAGTAGTGGGCACATAAGAACAGTGTGACTTCTTACAAACTACCTACAGCTTAATCTGTATATTAATTAATGCAGCTACAGCCTGCTTCTGAAGATGCCAGTGACAACTTCTCTACACATGAAAAGTGAACAGAAACTCTTACAAATATGTTTGCAGTAAGTTCTTGCTTTGCTCAGTTCATTTATTGTTATTTTACTAACCTTTCTACTTGGTAGACAACAGTAAGTGTTCAGTGGGGGGGAAGGACATCACAAACCCTTAGTAAAACAAACAGACCTCCTTCTGGCTTCCCTAGAGAGACAACTTGCTGTGGTGTCAAGAGACAACAATGTCTGTGGGAAATTACCTGCTGACATGATTCACAAGACGGGTCTGCAGTAAGAGATCTCGTCCTGGCACGAGATTGTCACAGATGAGATGCTGGTTAGAACGGAGAGCAACCCCATGGCAAGCACAGAGAGAACACAACACATCCAGGACCTGGGGAGAGTCAGACTTTAACAGACTCTGAATTCATCAACAGTACTTTCCACAAGGCAAACACAACCCCAGCTGTGATTGATCCCATCATTTCTCCTCTCTTTCTCCCTTTCTCTCCCTCTGTCTCCCTCCCCCGTGATGTACATGTGTATGTGTGGTGTGCATGTATGTTCAAATATGTGTGTATGTGCATGTGAAAGACAGGCTGATGTTGGGCATCTTCCTGAATCATTCTCCCCACACATACTGAGGCAGGGACTCTCACTTGAACCCAGAGCTTACCAATTTGACTACTCTAGAACCAGCTTGCCTAAGGGGGGGGTCTCCTATTTCTGCCTCTCAAGCACTGGGATTACAGGAAGTGCCACAATTTCCCAGCATGCATGCGGATGAGGGGGATCTGAACTCTGGGTCTCATGCTCTCACGAGCCCTTAACCATGCCTCACCCACAGCCTCAGCTTGGTCATTTTAACATGACAGTGTGTGTCCCAGTGGCTCTACACCTTTCTTTCACATACAGAGCAAGAACTGTTTGTACTCTCTCAGTTACGATGACTATATAAGAAACAATCTTACTCCATGGTAACTAAGGATGAAAACAGTCACGAAAACTTCAACATCTTGAAATTATCTTATGTTGGCATATATCTCAATTTATTAGTTTATTTTTGACTGATACATGAAGACGAAACCATACTGATATCTGGGCTTTCAGGTATGCTTCGATGCATGCACATGTTGTCTGTTTTAAATCATTTTATAACATGTTAGATATTTTGATCTCTCAGTGTTTTACTCCTTTTTAGCTTGTTGGACATTTATTCCATTTTTCTCACAGGTGTATATTTTCAGTAGGCAATCACATGCCCATGGCTCAAATTTCCTATCATTTCATTATGGAAAAAAGCATTTAAAATCCTTTCTTCTAGCCTTTTGCAATATATAGCCCACTCTTCACTATGTAATGGTTTTAGAATTCCCCTATGGAAATCAAGCAGCTCACTTACCTTGTGATTTCTTCCATGCTTGTCTAAAAGTGAGATGATGGATTTGATATGCCCTTCCTTGATGATATTCAGAGCTTCTGGGATTTCCACTAACATGCAGTGAAGGACCTCCAGACAAGGAAAAGGGAAAAGGAGGCTTTGGGAACTAGTTCCTTTTTGTTTTAGTTCATTCAACTTCACTTGCTCTATTTCACATGTAATTACTTTGTGCTCAATGTGTTTGGCACTGTGCGAGGCAACAGGTGGCATTTGTCAGAACAGACAGACATCCAAAGGCAACAGATCTCAGTGGAGAGAGGTGTGGAGCTTAGCTGAGGAAGGTGACTGTACCTCGGGAGTACAATAGAGCCGTGTGGCAGGCTTGGGGGACTCAGCAAATGTATCCCCCAGATATTCAGAGAGGAGGGGGCAGAACATCAGTCAGGCTTGAGCAGCAGGCACACCAGGGTGCAGTATGTGAAACAAGCATGGACGGAAAGTAGCTTGGGGCAGATTCTGAAGCTTTCTGGCATCAGAAACATAACCCTAGTCAGCAAGAGAGACAGGTGGGTAAAGGCACTTGCAGCCAAACCTGACAACCTGAATTGGATCCCCAGAAAAAAAATATTTCATTTAAAAATTAAAAGAAATAAACAGAACAGTACAGAAATGAAAAATATAAATTATAACCACCACAAAAGTACATGCCTTTTCTTCTTAAGGCTTATAAAAGAACAAAGACAAAATTGGTTTCATTATCAGAATGATTAGTGTATACTTGAAAAGCTAACTGTAAACCATGTTCCTTTTTTTCTATTGACCCATCATTGGGCCAGCAAAATGGCTCAGGTTGATAAAGGTTCTTGCTGCCAAGCTATTTGGCCTGATTATGATCCCCAGGCTACACATGGCAGAAGAAGTCTCAAGTTGTCCTCTGCCCTCCACAAGTTCACGGTGACATGTTTGACCACACATACCCATGTGCACACATACAAACACAAACACATGCAATTTCAACAATTATTAATAAAGAAATAAACTAGATACCCAATATTGCTCATCAGGAGACACAACCTGCAGAGCACTGGCTCGCTCTCAGAGTCTCTAAGAACTGCACAGAATTGGTAAGAAGCTTCTAAAACTCTGTAGTGAAGTCCTTATGTGTCAAGTGGAGTTCACTTTCTTAGAAAAGAGGCTTGTTAGGCTCACAAAAGAGGATGCAGGCATCATTCTCTCAAGTTCTCAGGACCTACGCCTGACCCAGATCCTTGTCCTCTACAGACAAGGGCAATGGATGCCACATCTATTTCATTTCTATAGGACCTCAAAATCTGGGGCTAATTTAGCTGTTGTCCAATAGCCTGACAATAATGGGGAGGAAAAGTCAAAGAAAACAGAAATTCAAGAAGTCAAGAATCGAGGTAGAAATGCTGACATCAGGGTACCAAATCTGTCCTCTGCTGTCACCATCATCTAAAATGCAGCAATAAAATATGATGCCAGTGATGGGAAAGTACTTCTAGTAGGTTTCCTATGCTATCCTGACTTTTTTCTCTCCATTATTTATTGCTACAGACGCATAGATGCCTCGATTTATTAATGTAGTTTATTGTGCTGTCCTAATGCATACATTTACTGACAGTGGTTACTTCCCACTACAAATCTGAACTGAGGGACTGTACAAGAGACCTTCAGGCACACAGGCTCTAGACTATTATCTGGATGCTATAACGTGAGGTCATGAGGGCTGATTCTTTATGCCTTTACAGAGGAGGAAGGCGACAGGAACATGCTTGTCCCTGACACCCAGGAGAGGATAAACTGTCAATGTGAGAGGAGACCCACACACCAAACCCAAAAGGCCTTGTCCAGACGCCACTAGGTTTAAGAACAGCAACACATTTCTGGGACTCGTGGCATTTTGCGTCACTCACCCATATTGGGGCATTACCCTTCTACAGAAAGTTAGCCAGCCTCTGCTGTATGCAGAAAAAGAAAAAACACCAAGCAATAGAATACTGAGAACAGGTCCTCTTAGCAGATAATCACTCACAAAGCTCACAGCATGCTCAAAACTGATTGCATCAGAAAAGGAATATGGCTAGATCTGGATGTGAACAGAGTATACTGCAACACAGAAGAATGATAATGTGAGAATAAACCACTGGCAGCAAGATGGAGGCAACAACAGGAGAATCATTAGAAGCTCATGGGTCAGCTATACTGTGTACACAGTGGTGAACAATAGGAAGACTATCTCAAAAACGGTAGGGAGCAAGGACCAATATGAGATTGTCCTGTGATCTCCACATACATGTATACATTTGCGGTCTCTCTCTCTCTCTCTCTCTCTCTCTCTCTCTCTCTCTCTCTCTCTCTCTCTCTCTCTCTGTCTCTCTCTCTCTCTCCCCTCTCTCTCTGTCTCTCTCTCTGTCTCTCTCACACACACACATATATACACACATGAATATACCATATATACACAAATATTAAAATAAATTACTGTAGTTTCAGTATAAGATAAATTAAACAGCATGGAATTTTCTTTCTTTTTGTTAACAAGGGATAAGTCATAAAAGCAAATGGAAGTTATCCTAAATAGTGTTTCTATACCTTACCCAACTGGAGAAAGAAAAAAATGTATGTCACATTAGTATTCGAATGCATAAAGTTTAAAAATCATGACTGCAAGAGCTGTGGCTTCAAGCCTAACTGAGAAAACATACATAATTACATATACTTTGAATTTTTCAGTATGTTTTTAGGCTAAAGAGGAAAATAAGCTCATTATTTCTCAAGCTCACATGATATTGAGAAGGGGGAAAAGTTGACAAAGGTTAAATTTGAAAATAGGACACAAATTGGCAAAATCAGGACAGAGATGGAAACTGGAGCCAATGCATAATTTTCTTTTGCATACATAAGGTAACAAAACACACACTGGGAGAAACATCCGCAAAATAGATAAGCCAAGAAGAGACTGAGGTTCGGGGTTGGAAGGTGGGTGAGAGTCTGAAGATTCCCAGGGTAAACTGAGAGAAATTGCAAACATGGGGCAATGTAACTATAACGGACAGTTCAGCCTAATTAGGATTCTGATGGCTGCTCCCTTCAGTCTGAGGAGCCACTATTTATGAAGGACAGAGAAACTACAGTTGCCAAAGGACAATCAGGAAAATGTAATGCCAGTTTCAAAACAGTACATGATTTTAAGACCACATGATCATATCAGAAAGTTGATACTATTCAAATTTTTATTAGGATACATTGTCTCAAAGAGATTATAGAGGCTGGAGACGAGGCTGGAGACGAGGCTGGAGACGAGGCTCAGTTAGTTGGTAGGGTGCTTGCTAAGCAGGCATGAAGCCCTGGAGGTCTGATCCCCAGCACTACTTAAAACCTGGTGTGGTGGCACATGCATGTAATCCAGCACTAGGGAATTGGAGACTGTAGGATCAGAAGTTCAAGGTCATCCTATACTACACAGTGAGTTAAAGGCTTGCTTGGTTTACATGAGACTGTCTCAAAGAACAGTGTCAACTTGAAACATAAAAACACTAGAAGATGTCCCCATGCCACTTTTGGTACTATGGTTGTTGGTTTGTTTTTTATTTTGTTTTACATTCATCAGTTTATTATTGAGTCCATTCAGTGGGCTAGCCTCTGTAAACTCTTTGATCTTAGCAAAATGAGCAAAGATGACATTACTCCAGAGCTCAGAGTGTTGGCACAGATTCAATCTTCCTCTGCTTTTCCTTGACCTCAAGCAAGTGACCTGTAAGGGCTTTGCCTTGCCTTCTCCATCTTTGAATCGAAATCTGATGCTAGGATGGCAGAAACTCAGTAAAACAGATGAGCTTCCTTTGCCTGGAACACCAGGCAAGATGTTGGGAGATTTCTTCACTGTTGCTTTAGATTGGCATATACATAAAGAGATATTTTAGGGACAGAGTTCAAAGTTGCACACAGAATTCCTTTATGCTTCATATATATATATATATATATATCTTACATACATATTCCAAAAGTAATTTGACTTATTTTAATACCTACTATACTTATTTATTTACTCATTTATGTATTTATTTACTGTGTATATGAGTGGGCATCACAGCATCACAGTGTTGTAAAAGTCAGAGGAAAACTTTGGGAGTTGGTTCTCTCATCCCAGGGGTGTAACTCGGGTCATCAGGCTTAGTGTTAAGTACTTCTACCTGCCTAGCCATGTTGCCAACCTATAGGCTATTTTATTCAATGTTCTAAATGACTTTTCACATGAAATACTGACAGAATGTCACAGATGAAAAGGTACAATGCCTTCTAGTAGACATTGAGTAAAGTATGCAAAACACTGCATTCTGGCTGTGACCCAGAATGAAGTCAGCCATCTAACTTTCCACTTGTAGTGTCTTATTGGTGACAAAAATAGGACCCAGGGGACTACCTGCATTGTGATATTCATTGCTTCTCACTGTTCTCTGAATCTTGAGATGTATGTAAAATACAGTCCCACAATTGCCTATGATAGATCAAGTTCTTGGTCTTGACAGTTTCATATGTTATCATATCCATCCCCATTTCCTCTCTAGTTCACCACAATCATTCCATCCCCGTCCCCTCCCAACTTCACGTCTACCCATTTGTGTACAGATACGGGTGGCAGTAGGTGTGGGGCCATCTGTAGGAACGCGGGGAGTCCACCAGTGGCCACACGTAATGTAAAGTTGGAAGGAAGGAGTTGCTGGGGGAGGGACAATCATTTCTGTCAACTGTCAATAACTCCTTTGATAAGCAATGGGGCCCAGATAGCACCTTCCTCTTCTGTGCCAGAATTTTGACTGACTTAATCTTGTGCAGGTCTTGTGCAGAAAACACAGCTACTGTGAGTTCATGAATGCATTGGCCATGCCCAGTGGTTCCTGCCACACTAGGAGATCTGAATGATATCCCTGCTACATTACCCATAGTGCTCAGTGGCTCAGTCTCACATTAATGCTTGGACAGACAAGCACACCTTTGGGGCCTTCCTTAATAGAAACTGAAGAGAAGCTAACACTTAACAGGGCAGATTTCCAGGTCATGTGATTGGGTGTCTGTTACCCCAAGAACCATAAAGTGGGTTACAGACAGCACATTTGCCAATGTCATCTCAATGTCCCTTAACATGTACCAAAGAAACCAGTTTCCTTTCTAAGCATGTCTAGAAAAAAAAGAACCACCAAAACATAATGAAAGACGCCACTGAGGCACACACAGGCACAGTGCAAGTAGTCCTCGAACTCTACATAGGGAACTCCTGTCCATTTGAGGACTTGCAGCCCTAATGATTAACAATGCGCATTCTAGAAGCCACAGACCTGCCAAACATTGTATAATCTGGGGCATACAACCCATGCTTAAGCCAACCAGGAAACATCCGTATCTGTAAGCCAGAATCCTGCAAGCCTTGCTGTCCCATACCCTCAATACTGTACTACAGCTAGAAGTGCACAATGGTCTTCAAGTAACCGTGGAAAACAACTATAAAGTCACTCAACTGCATGGCATAAAGGAGGGCACCGTTTATGCCTGACTCTGAAATAGCTGAAGAGCTCTTTCATTGTAAGAGCCATTTTCTAGAGATGTAATCTGCCATCCCCCCTTCTCCACCTGCTTTAAGAAAAGCACTCTGAAGAAGATAAAAACGTCAGGAAACCAGTATCTTAGAACAATTTTACTTCTTTTTTTCACCCATTAAAACAGGTTGAGTTTCATCTGGAGTTTGTTTTAGGGATCCCCTCCCCCCCCTCGCTTGCTACATATCATCTTGTTGATAAGATACAAGATGCCTCCAAACAAAGGCTCCATTCTTTCTCTGTCTCTTCCTTCCTAGTTGCAACTTAATGCTTCAAAATTCCAAGAAATCAACAACTATGATAACTGTAGGGTGTTTAAACCACCCTGTATCCAGAAACTGAACACTGTGATTCAAAGCTCTGGCATCTGAAGCCCCCTAAGTATCCCTGCACTGATTCTGCACTGAGGGGAGTTGCCAGGCTTCCCATAAGAACATGCTCAACACTGTAAAACTGTGGGGTGCAGAGCACACAAAGGATGATACCCAACAGAAGCCCACCAAGCCCCTGGCTAATGAATGGGCTGCCTTTCTCTGGATGACTCGTCCCCACAAATACCACAAGAGCCAAGATCACCTAGAGAAAAGCCCAGGCATGGGAAACACTTCACCTTGACCCCTTGTACTTGCTCATGCCAACCTGCCATCTTTTCAATGAACTCTGGCCTAGTAGGCACAGATGTACATTGTCATGGTTAAAATTTGCACTGCCCCCACAGACAGTGGGATTTAAACTCTTACATCCCAGATGATTCCCCATATAATGGAAACTAAAACAACTGAACAAAGAAGACAGCAGTTGTCAGAGTCTGGGGGCAGGGAGGACGGACGGGGAGATACTGGTCAAAGGCAAGAGAGGTTCAGAGTTCCTGCCTGGTACGATTATCCTGTTTTGTGGACAGTCTTCAAGGATTTATGAAACCTCTTCAAATTCACTATGGTGTTATATTAGGGAACCTGACTTCCCAATTTCACCCAAATATTCTTGTGTCTTTAAATTATTTTGATAACAAAGGGAAAAGTAGGAAATCTAACATCTAAAAATTTTGTGTGTTTGAGTATATCAGGATTGATCAGTTTGAAGAGGAAGAAGAATTCTAGTTCTTTAGTGGATTTCAGGACTTTATCATTAGACATTTTATTAATGTAAATGACAAGGTTTTGCTAGATCTCTACTGCGAACCCATATTCCCTGGAAAAAACTACACTTCCCACTGACCCTTCTGCAAGGCTGAGTAATTGATGGGGACATCAGTGATTGTGCTGGAATGGAATAGTACAGGCCTGGAGCTTAATTATGATTTACCTTGTGCTATCTTCAGCATCTTTAACAGCCATTCTCACCTACCTCTGAGTCTCACTTAACAGCCTTGTAACTAACAGATAAAACCTCTCATAATGTATTATCCTAACAAATCCACTGCTTCCACCAACCAAAAGGCTGAGCACCATCAGATAGCTCCAAGCCTACAGCTGAGCTTTCCTGCTCTGTTGTTAATTGTTCTACTCAGTGTTTCTACTGAAGCATTCGGAAAGTGCTCTGATTTACGACTTGTTTATTCTGTTACTATACAAACTTTGTGAAACTGCTGCTACATTGGGACATGGAGTTTAGGGTGACCTAAGTCTATGTCCCCAGGCTTTTAAGTGGACTCTTCTCCCCTTTCAGGAGCTCTGTTGTGGCATCAACACTATTCAGGAATGGCAATGACTTGATGAACAAAAATATTCAAACAATTAAAAAGAAAACCCATAATGCTGAACGTGCAAACTTGCTGTGTCTTAAAGAACAAGAAATGGAAGTAAACAGGAAGAAATATCATCTACATCAAGGAGAAAACTAGGAACATACCAGAGGATGCTTCCACAGTCTTTCCAGTCTGCTGATCAGCCAGTCGAGGGAGCCAGAAAATTGCACAGTTTTTGCAATTTCCTCTAATTAGAGCCACTGCAAAAGAAGAACTCACATTAATGTGATTTTCAAGTTTAAGTACCAAGGTAAGGTTGCAGGAGGTACAAAATATGGGATGGAGGGAATAAAGCATCTGCCAGTTTCATCTAAACCGTATGCAAATGCAACTACATACATATTCACACACACATACAAAAACTGGGTATTTTTGAAAACTCCTCTTCTTATTAGAAGGCAAATAATTCCTAACATGCATTTCTTTTAATTAGCCACCAAACTGAACTATTTGATCTCCCCAAAACCCAATTTTCACACCTATACTCCAAAGAAGTTAAGAACGTACCAGATTGCCTGAGACAAAATAAAAGGACACACAGCTAGCAGCTATGATTCTAACAGCTATGCTGGGAGATGTAACTAAATGAAGCAAGGAGAAAGGATGGCAGGCCGACAATTAATAACGTTGTAAGCCACTCATGTGTGTGCACCTCTCTTCATTTAGAAGTCCACAGCCATGTAAAAGACTGGAACAGCTTAGAGAAACCTATTTTAACTTTTCCTAGTCTTGTGATTCTTAGCTCTTTTACTAAAGACTCTTTCTCACATGAAATTCTGAAGTGACAATTATTTGCATGAGGTTATATACTCAAATAAAAAAATTCAGTTTTCCATTTAAAAACTCAGCAGATTCAGTTCTGTGACAGCAAGTCTAGTAATCTTCTTTAACAAAAGTTCTATGCTTAGACCTGTAAGACGGTTCAGAAACAGTGTAAGTGCTCAAAGGTTTTTTTTAGCAGCATTACACTTGAAGGCAGAAAGCTATCCCCAGAGGGACAGTCATTGCCCACAGTCTTGCCACACTAGGAAGCAGATTGAAGGCCTGGAGTCTGAGGAAGAACAGGAGGGTGAAAAGCCTACGGTTAGACTGTGCAAGTCACACTTAAAGATGCCCTTCACATCTCCTTCCCAAGCAAAACAGCAAACAAAGCTGATTCGTGTTCTGACAGTAAAATAAAAGAAACACAAAGGATGGGAAGTTTCCTCTCCCTCTGCCTGAAGGGAGACTTGGGAGCCTCAGAATAGGATAAAGGGGGTACATGCAATGTCTAGGTCTGGGGACAGGTGCTTGCTCCCAAGCTTGCCAACCCAAATATGGTGGAAGGAATGAACCGAGTCCTGCAAGTTGTACCCTGACCTCCATATGACCTCCACATTGGCATGGCTCTGCCTCCCCCTCCTCCAACAACATATAAGGCACACAAATTTTTTAAAAAATCAATTAATAAAGATTTTCCTTTCTAAAAGAAAATAATGGCAGCCATATTCAACATACCAGTCTTCATCTGATGACCATTCTCACCTCCAAAGTGCAATGTAAGTATAAGACATAAGACAGAATTCTTCCTTAATGCTAGAAAGACACAATTCCTACAACGTTCTTTAACTGCAGCCTTACTGGCCTTATCTCTAAGGCTTTGATTACTAAGAAGACACTTAGAATCCATTAAACACTGGAGGTGAAGAATTTAAGAGAGTCTTAGAGAAATCAGGACATTGTCCCTGAGAATTAGAGACCTTGGAAACTACAGTTTGGTGATTCCTGCCCAAAGATGCTGGAGTAAAAGAAGCACCCATGGAATCAGGTGTTCTCTATTGCTCATGGGAAGGAAATGCCACATCGAGGCTGCTCTGTGTCTACTCAGTGGGGACACTGACGCAGCAGGGTGGCTTTAGGGTGGGCTTGTGTCACTAGGGGCACAGAGTCAAGGAAGGGGTAACCATGAGTCACCCAGAAGAGGGTAGTTACTGTCTCACCACAGGAATTGTGAGACAGACGGGCTCTTCTATGACATTCCACTATGCCTGCAGAGAAAGTGGTTCTTAGCTCCTGCCAGGCCTCCCAAGGATATCAGTCTTATTATTCTGTACTGAGTGTACAGCCATATAACCAAGTACTAATAGTGCAGTCTCCCTCTCCTCTCCAGCCTTAACAGATCAGGAGCAGCTGCCTGGAGAAAAAACTGAATCTGTGACTGCCATTGCTATTTCATGGAGATGAGACTATGACAAAATAGTAAAACAGGGAAAGCAGTATGCCTTGATTTAAAATGCAATGCCTATCCAGGACCATGGGGAACAAGACAGGAAGTATCTCTGTCGAAGGAGGGACTAAGGACAGGTATGCTGGCCCAGGACAAATCCTTATTGACCCGTTTTATCCAAAGGCCTCACCTCTTAGCTTCTATTGCCTTAAATGATGCCCTTGTGGTGTTAATCTTGCCAGCTTAGCTGGATCTGGAATTAACTACAAGGCAAGCTTCTGGGGATACCTGTGAGGAACTGTCTTGATAAAGTTACTGTTGGCAGCACTTTCCAGTGGCAGTCTAGATAAATGGGAATTTCTACTGCTGCTGGATCTCTTCCCTGTGATCAGAAGCAAGAATTTTCTGGTGTGCGACACATGTTGAAGGCCAGCAGCTCTCTAGGGATCCTTCAGACTCTCAAGGGTGAGGCAGCCATGGTTGGACTACCCATCCTGTATTGTGTAAGCCAAGCTAAAAATCTCCTTTTAAGATACACTCATTCTACTGGGCCGCCTCCTCCAGAACACCTGTTCCTAATAGACCATCAAAATATGGCTCCATTCTGCTAATACAGTGATTAGGTCAGAGCCGCTATAGTCCAATCAGATCCCAAAAGCCCCTCATATAACACTGCCCTGGAAACCAAGCCTCCACCTCCTCAGCTCTTCAAGGATTCACTGTTCACTTCTGCTGAATAAGAAAGGAGGACAGCCTGTTCTGTTTGTTTTCTGCTCCGAACCATGAGTAAATGAGTACTCATGGTTTGCCAAAGGGCCATTTCTCAGACCTTCTAGACAGGCATACTGGCTTGTCTGCATCCCACAGATTAACTATCTGGACGTCAGAAAAGATGTATGAAAGAGGGCTACAGCAATGCTTCTCCAATTCCAAGTACAGTTGTATATGACATCTCGATGTCTTCCTGACGGCAGCTCATAAATCCACCTTTATCAATCTCCACCTAAGACCCAGCCTCACTAAGTCTATGTCAAGCACCAAATTGTTAAAGATTATCACTCTGCCTTCTGTGTTTGCTCTCCATATGATGAGCACCAGCACCAGCAGGAAATAGCTCATTCCCTCCATAGCTCTTGGAGAGAATCTAATGTCCAGTTATCTGGGTTTTGTTTTATTTTGTACTTGTTTTATTCTTAGTGCATGCCTGTGTGCGTGTGTGCATGTGTGCGTGTGTGTACACTGGCTGTAGGGCCCAGGACCTTATGAAGGCTGCACAACCATGTTACCCATAAGGTACGGCCCTTACACCCTGTCTACCTCTTTGGAAAGATCAAGAAGGGGGATCATGAATTTGAAGTTCATATTTAAAGTAAATCTTTAGAGAACTAAGGAAAATGAACTACATAGGACTGTGACATGGAAATATATTACAGAACTTCAATGACTGTGGCAGAACTGAAACTTATAAACTGAAGTATAAACTCAGACTTACAGTCTGGAGTCAATGAAAACTGGAAGGTAGAAGTCTCTCAAAGTCAAATGTACTCTATATTTTCACTTAAAATTTTTTCCTGGTCATTAAATAAGTGGTCACTAGAATGCAAGTAAGAACGAAAATAGAAGCCGGGTGGTGGTGGCGCACACCTTTAATCCCAGCACTCGGGAGGCAGAGGATCTCTGTGAGTTTGAGACCAGCCTGGTTTACAAGAGCTAGTTCCAGGACAGCCTCCAAAGCTACAGAGAAACCCTGCCTCAAAAAACCAAAAAAAAAAAATTAAGATAGATTCAGCCTAAAACCCTTGTCAGGAGAGTAAGCCCACCCCCTGACACTGCCTGGAGCACCAGGACCCACAGGGTGGATGACCCAGAGACCTAGCATAGAACCAACTTGACTGCGACTGGAGGGGGGAAATGTCAATGTAATGGTGCCTAATGATATTCTGCTGCACCCATAGATTGGTGTCTAGCCCAATTATCATCAGAGAGGCACCATCCAGCAACTGATGTGGAGACCCAAGCCAAATATTAGGCTGAGCTCAGGGAATCCTGCTGAAGAGAGAGAGGAAGGATTGTAGGAGCCAGAAGAGTCAAGGACATCACAAGAAAACCCACAAAACCAACCAACCTTGGCTCATAGGGTCTCACAGACACTGAAATGACATCCAGGGAGCCTGCAAGGGACTGACCTATATCCTCTGCATGTATGTGACAGTTGTGTAGCTTGGCCTTCTTGTGGCACTCCTACCAGTGGGAGCAGGGGCTGTCTGACTCTTTTACTGGCTTTGGGGACCCTGCTTTAATACATGGGGAGGTGCTTAGTCTTACACAACTTGATATGCCATGTTTTATTGATATCCATGGGAGACCTACCTTTCCTGAACACAAATGGAGGGGGAGTGTATTTGGTGGTGGGAATAGAGCAGAGTTGTAGGAGAGAATGGAAGGAGGGGAAACTGTGGCTGGGATGTAAAACAAATTTAAAAAATAGTAATAAATAAGAAGGTAAAAATAAATATTAAAATGAAAATAAAGCAAAGGAATGTTGTAAATGTAGTTTCTCATAATTCTATCACTTGGATTACCTCTAAACCATTAAATTACCTTGTATATAAAAGGAAGGACTCTCATTTTCTCTAATATATAAATGTCCTAGGGTTTTTTAAAACAATAAACTGGAACCAAGAGATAGCTTTTTTCTTTTACCACCACATATCTAATTTACTGTTGTCAATCATAAACACTGTTCATATGAATAAATATGACACAGAAGTAGAAACAGAAGCTAAAAATCAAGATTTCCCTGCTAAGAAAGAGGCAGTCATGTAACACTTTTCTGTATATTCTTACACAAAATCAATTGGACACAAATTGCCTCCTCTGAACAACTCTCATTTTGTGCAGTTGCAATCTTTTTTATGAAATTTGATTTGATTTTTTTCTTTCCTTTCTTGGTTTTTCGAGACAGAATTCCTCTGTATTGCTTTGGAGGTTGTT